AGCCAATGCTCCACGAAGTTTCAAGATCACAATTTCTTTCACAAGGTCGTTACAATATATAGAAGTCATCATTTAAGCATGGAAAGCATAACAACAACCAAACTATAAGCAAATAAGGACTCGCGGTCATGCTAGACACCAATTCATAGATACTCGTCACCATGCCTATACATCATACTCGACAATTGACAACTTACAAATAAGACTCAACTCATATTCCCTCAAGCTAGGGTTAAACCAAACACTTACCTCGATGCCTTGAACTCAACTCAAGACTCAACTATGGCTTTACCCCGCAACTCCACCTCCAATCATCTCGAATCTAGCCACAAATTACTTAATTACGTTAACAAACACTAAATGAATCAATTTGAATGAATAAAAATGAATTTTCCAAAGTTTTTCCCAAAAATTCCAAAATTGCCCCCGGGCCCACGTGGTCAAAACCCGAGTTTCGAACCAAAACCCGGTTACCCATTCCCGCACGAACTCAAATATGCAATTTGTTTTAAAATCGGACCTCAAATTGAGGTCCAAATCCCCAATTTATAGAAAACCTAGGTTCTACCCAAAACCCCCAATTTCTCCCATGAAAATCATTGATTTTAAGTTGAAAACATATTAAATGATGTTAATGATTGAAAGAGTTAAGTAAAAATCGACTTACAAATGATTTGGGATGAAACTTGTTCTTGAAAAATCGCCTAAGGAGTTGTATTTTGAAAGTGGGGTGAAAAATGACTTGAAATTCGTCTAAGCATGAAAAATGCAGGTTGCAGATGTGGGAAATGCGAACTGGGGTTCGCAATTGCGAATCCCGACCTGCTACTTTGGGAATTGCGTACAAAAGTTCGCATTTGTGAACCATTGGCATATTTGGGGACTTCGCATTTGCGAATAGAAGCGTCGCATTTGCGAAAGTCCCAGCTTTCGCATTTGCGATGCTATGATCGCATTTGCGATCCCTGTGCAATGTGAGCACCTTAGAATTTTCGAAGGATTCTTCGCAAATGCGAAGCCTGCAGGTCAGATCACACCAGCAAATTTCCAAGTTCAAAAATGCACTCTGTGGCCTATCCAAAACTCACCAGAGCCCTCGGGGCTCCAAACCAAATATACACACAACCTCAAAAACATCCTACGGACTTACTCGTGCGATCAAATCGCCAAAATAACATCAAAAACAACGGATCAAGCCTCAAAACTCATGAATTCTTCCCAATTTTCATAAAACATCAATTTTCCATTTTAAGTCCGAAAAACGTCAAACGACGTCCGATTTCAACCAAACTTTACAGAAAGCGCTTAAACCATATATAAGACTTGTACCGGGCGCCGGGACCAAAATACGGGCCCGATACCACAGTCTTTTAATCAAATTTCATTTCCAGTTTCCTTGATAATTTCAGAAAAACAATTTTACTCAAAAATTCATTTCTCAGGCTTGGATTATCGGAATTCGATTCCGGGCATACACCCGAGTCCCATATTTTTCTACGAACCCTCGGGGACCGTCAAATCACGGGTCCGAGTCCGTTTACCCAAAATGTTGACCGAAGTCAAATATATTCTTATTAATATCAAAATTTAGCATTTTTCACACGGAATTCATATTTAAGCTTTCCGGCTACATGCCCGGACTGCGCATGCAAATCGAGGCAACCCTAAACGAAGTTTTCGAGGCCTCGGAAGCACGGAATGAATGAGAAAACAGGTGATGACCCTTTGGGTCGTCACATTATTTATCTTTATTCTTACACTAAGTTGCTTCACTAACAATGATACATACGACTAACAGAAACCAGTGCTTGATGCTCAATGTGTGGAGTCAAGAGTTGGGGGGAATACTACATTAGAGGTGCCGTGAAACATACCACCTACAGGTCAAGAGGGTGTATCCACAGAATTCTATGTATCTCAATTTGAGCTAGACAACAAGTTTCTTACAGTCAAATTCCAGAAACTAGAATTGTGATACACAACAGTGCAAAAAAAGTTGAATCAACCCCAGTACCATCTCATAGGATCGGCGACCAAGTAGATGGTATTCTTCTCCTTATGAGTATAACTTCGACTTCGCAGGTTAGTGTTTTTATAAACTAAAGATCTATTTCCTCATGGTTTTTAAAATTAAAAGTCTCTACTCACGAATTCAATGAACAACAGGTACCTAAGTAAAGTTGACCCCCATTTTTGGAAAAAGACACCCCTTTGAGGATGATTCAATAAAGGGGCCACATCCTACATTAATCATTCAGGAATATGACAAATGGGTTCGTGATGGTCTTCTCGCTAGACATGATCAGAGGTGAGTTATCCCCCGGTATGTGTATTAAGTTTTTATATTTTAAAAAATGTATATACTATTTTTCTATATCATACTTGTAGAGTAATTTGGAACACCATTACAAGAAGAACAAGGCAACACTTCATATACCATTGGATTTTGGAGTTGATCAAGTTAATTCAAAAAATTAGTTTTACCTTCTATCGTTTGACGGGAAGCTATGGGATGACAACGTAAGTTTTTCCCCTAACTGACTAATTTTCTTTGAATAACAGCATGCATTTGATTGTATTCTGTTGTAGTATTTTTACTGTTTTCAAACACTCTATATGATGAAATGTTTGATGAATGCAATGGCATCATTATTCAGCTGTATTCAGCTGTAGTCAGTATTATTAAACTGTTTTAGTCAGTTGTAGTCAGTTGTATTCAACTGTATTATTCAGCTGTATTCAGTTGTATTTTTCTTGCTTTCAGCTTTATTCAGTTGTTCTCAACTGTATTATTCATATGTATTTCTCTATATTCAGCTGTATTCAGCTGAATACAGTTGTATTCAACTGTTTTATTCAGCTGTATTCAATTGTTTTATTCAGTTGTATTCAGCTGTAGCCAGTTGTATTCAACTGTTTTAATCAGCTGTAGTCAATTGTATTCAACTGTTTTATTCAGCTGTATTCAGCTGTATATTTCTGTTTTCAGCTGTTTTCAGTTGTACTCAACTGTATTATTCATATGTATTTCTCTGTATTCAGCTATATTCTTTAATAGTTTGATTAATTGGACTCACACCATGTAATTAAATTTGTGTATAGCATATTGATGTCATATTTTACTATCTGAGAAAGAAGGGAAAGTACAATCAAACAAGCAATTTCAAGTATACAATTGTTGATTGTATATTCAAGACAAGAATCGCTGAAATCTTCGACAGGTATGCTGATACAGATAGTAATGCTAATGTAGCCAAAGAAGAGGATGTGGTATGTGAGTACATAAGGGGCTACAGATTGCTAGTTAATGTACCTTGGAATACTGTGGATAATGTCTTGATACCAGTCAACTTGAAGGACAAACTACACTGGGTATTGGTTGTTGTCTCATTCAAGGAGAGATATATCAAAGTGTATGACTCGTACAGATCTGCAGGTCATGATGCCTATGTAGCTTCTGAGATTGATAAGCTAGCTAAGCTTGTACCTCTGTATCTATCAATTAGTGGCTTTTACAGAGATAGTCAAGGCATAGATTGGTATACTTACTCAGCATACACTGACAAGTCACATAATGATCCATTTGAAGTTTTTTTCTTATTAGATCTGCCTCAACAGAAAGCTGGGAGCATGTAAGTATTCAATCATCATTCTTTTATGTTATATACAAATCTAATTGTATGAATTATTTTTAATTGTTTCAATCAATTATTTTTTAGGGATTGTGGGGTGCATGTTGCGGCATACGCAGAGTTTCTGAGCACTCCTGGTGAGATTCCACAAACAACATTTGATTCTAATCTACTCCTTCAAAGATATGGTGCTCTCCTCTGGGACTATGCTATGTGGAAGATAGACGTTGATGCCATAAGCGAGAATGAAGCACCCTCAAAGATTGCTAGGCAAATCACGGAGTTAGATTCGTAGATGCAGATAGTGTTAAAGTAGTTTTCGGTTAATGTAGTTTTGGAATATAGCTTGAAGAAGAATATTGTTTTGAGTAGTTTTTTGGTGAAGATGGTATTTAGTTAGAAAAACTTATCACTTTATCATCAGTGTTCGTGTATGACAATTGCAACTTTTGAATCGCTGTTTCACTGGTTTGTTTATAAGTATTCATGCTTATTCTTCAGTTTGTATTCATATGTATCTTACAGGATTCAAGTATGTATTAATATTCAGTAACTTTGCTTGAACAGGTTTTAGGTATTAAACATGTTAATATCCAAGTCAGAAACTTTATGTATTCTGATGGTAGGTTATATTAAAGAATTCAGATGTATCTTTCTGAATTCAGGTGTATTCAGTTGTATTCAACTGTATTATTTAGTTGTATTCAGCTATATTCAACAGCATTCATTTATATGTATCTTTCAAGTTCAGTTAATACATATTAAAGAATACAAATTCATATGTATTAAACAGGTTATACATGTTCAGCTGTAGTCAGTTGTATTCAACTGTTTTATTCAGCTGTAGTTAGTTGTATTCAATTGTATTATTCAGCTGTATTCAGTTGTATTTTTTTGTATTCAGCTATATTCAGTTGTACTCAACTATATTAATTTATATGTATTTCTTTGTATTCAGCTATATTTCTCTGTATTCAGTTATATTCTTTAATATGTATCTTTCAAATTGAGTTAATATTTTCTAAAGAATATAAATTCAGATGTATTAAACAGGTTATTGTCTAGTTAGAGACTATAAATTCAAACTTATTGAAATTGTTATATTACAGCTGAGTATATAGATGTATTCCGATGAATTCTGACTAGTTATGTATATAACTCAGGCACTATCTATAATAAACTGTCAAAGTATATGTGGACAAGGTTATATTCGATTGTATCCGACACATTAAGGCAACTATATGCATTCAGAATCTATTCATGAAAGTCATTTCAGAAATTATTACTTGACAATGAGATTTATTACTTGACAATGTCATCATAAGTATTGACAAATCGTTGAAGCACCAATACATGTCAGAGTGTTAACTATTTATTACGTGGAGCATTTCTACACGTTTGCTTGTTATGTCCTCCCTGCCAAAATATGATACATGAATGTTGATTTTTCGGCTGCAGCAATTCACTTAAAGGTTTATCGCGCTTCTTCTTTAGCCTTCCAGGAGGTCTTTTCCATTTGGGTGGTAGTACAACCTCCTCTGCAACATGTGCTGGTATATTCGAGTCATTTCTGTCCGGTAGCGGGTACACAGGCACATCGTATGTCATTACAACAGTATTTGGTTTGTAATAGTTAGAGCAATATTCTTCTGGCATTAGAAACTTGCTCTTCAATACAGCCCAAGCATGTGGGCAAGGCAATTCATCAACTTGGAACCTCCCACAAACACATTTTCTCTCTAACAGGCAGACTGTGTAATTCCTCCCTCCATCGTTAATCGTATGTAAGTATTCAGTTGATGGTACCACCTATAATTAAAAATAGAAATATAAGTTTTGAGCACATATAACTGAATTACCATATGTATAATGCTGAATTACTCAGTTACATACAACTGAAATATTTGCATACAGATGAATACATCATATATTTAGACCAGCAGACTATCAACTGTAATTAGTGCAGAACTTATATAAAGTCTTCTATACTTTAGGCAACAGGAGGCTAACAAAAACATTAGAAGGATACGTCATGACAGTACATATTAAAATTTTATATAATACAGATTTGTTAGTTGTATTCTGATGTATTCGAATAGCTTTTGCAGCATGTTTTTAGTTATATTCAGTTGTATTCATATCAGATCTTCGAAAAAATATGTCTTGTATTTGTTTGGATTTAGTTGTATTCATATGTATTTATGGTAGTTGTATTTTAAAAAATGATTGTATTCAGTTGTATTCATGCCATTAATTCAGAAAACAATTAAGCTATATACTACAATGACATTAAAATATAACTTACAGTCATACGTGTAGACATTGCCTCATTCAAAGTCAGTATCTCCTGGTATTTTTTTCCAAGCGTCGTGTACGTCTGTGTAGCTTCTTTGCAGTTACTACAATTCCAACGACCAAACATCTTCCTAACTTCTTCGAGGAAGTCGTATATTGGCAATTCCCTTGCTGAAACTAGTGCGGCATTGATTGACTCAGCAATATTTGACGTCATTGTCCATCCCCTGTTAACAGGTGCATACAACCTAGCCCACTTTTCGTATCCAGCTAACTCTAAGTATTCTTTCACCCTAATATCTACCTTCTCCATCAGACTGTCAAATTCAGCTTGTGTGTCTGCTTTTGCCATCGAGAAGTATATCTCGCTCAACTTGGCATGGCTCTTTTTGAATTTCTTATATACGTTGTTCCATAGATGCCATATACAAGCAAAATGCGGTACATCTGGATACACTCTCGATACAGATTTAATGATACTCTCATTTCTATCTGAAACGATGCACATGTTTTCCCTGTCACCGTATGCTATCTTGAATTGCTCAAAGAACCACGTCCAAGCAGCATCGTTCTCTGAATCAATAACACCATATGCTAGTGGCAATATATGACCTGTAAATACAATTGAATACATATTTTTAAAACATGTATTCCAATATTTAAAATATTAACAGATTGTATTATAATTCAGATACTCACCTGCACCATCCAACGTGCTTGCCGAAACGAATGTCCCGGTGTAGTAAGATTTTAGGTGACTTCCATCCACAACAACAATGGGTCTACAATGATCAAACCCCTTTATAAAGGCGTACAAAGATATATACACGTACATGAATTCATTTTTTGGTGATTTTACCATTCTGATGTGGGAACCTGGATATGTCATATCCATTGTATATAAGTATCCTGGTAATTTTTTGTATGAATCAGCCGGTTCACCTCTCAAAAAATTCATTGCCTTTTCTTTAACCCTCCACGCCAACATGTAGCTAACATCTACACCTAAATCTGATTTCACATCATCAATAATATCATTTGGGGTGTATTTCCTCTTATGATTAGTAAGCTTAGGCCTTATCATACCACCTATAATGCTGCTACTTGCATGCCGCTGCTCATACACCTTGTCCTTCAGCGGACATGTATGGTTATCAATGAATTCTCTCACTTTGAATAGTTCTGATTTGTTAATGCTTGAAGCCTTAAACCTCCATTCACAATCTTCTGAAATACATAATAATGCATAGCTGCAAAGAATTAATCATTGTACATATGATTAGCATAAGTGTTTACAAAAAAATTCACTCATATACACACGAGTACAATCTAATTATTTTACATACTGACATCTATATATATATATATATATAAAAAATTTTATACTACTGAATTGAATTATAGCTATATGCATTTAAATACAATGAATACAACTGAATACAATTGTGGGTATATGCATATACTTAAAACCACAGTAGACAAAATAAGAAAATAATTAGAGCCACTGTAATGTAATTATACCAATAAAATACATATGAATACATGTATTTAAGGACCATAAACAAACATATGTTAACTACATCTGTGATAATCAAGAGGAAATCCATAAATACGCATAAATACAACAACGTTAAACTTACAGCTCGAACCAATAATAGAAAATACAAAAAAAATTAAATTAAATACATGCAAACCTGATAGCTTTAGACCTATTAACCCGGAATTGAAACCTTTGAGCTATAGCATAATTCTCCATCACCTCTTTCAATGTAGCCTTATCCTTATACACTTGTCCAGCCATAACCTCCCTTTGATTAGTTTTTGAAATTATCAAATCCTTGTGGAGTTCGAACACTCCAATCGCTTCTCCTGAATTGACAAAATCTAGAGCCAGTGTATTATCTGTATCGGAATCGTACCTTTGAACTGCTTCGTCTATTTGCACAATGTCGCCTTGATTTAAACTACCTCCGAATACAAGTTCTTTTTCAATAGTTGTTATACACAAAGGATACATCCCACATTCCATGTTCTCTTTTTTCAATTCTACATACACTCTGTAACCCATATCATTGTGTATTTCTATTGGCGTGCAATTTTCTTCTACTTTGTATTGAATTTTAATGGACTTTGAGCTCAAATCTATACCTAGTTGATTAGAAATCGAAGCAACCAGATCATTAAAGGAGGCATACTCCTTTATCAGTATTCCCTCAATTGAAAAATCGATGTAATTGCCCTCATCGTTCCACTTGCCAGAATGACGCAACAACACTGTTAAACTTGCCATATGTATAAAGGAATTATACCGTATTTTTGTATATAATTTGTATCAATCTAATTTTCCGTGGTTGAATTGATATATGCGAAAAGAGAAAAAGGAGAAGTGAATGGAAGAACTTCGAACAGATGTTGCTCTGGTTTTCACTGCTTTTTTTTTATTGAATGGTGTATGGCAGAATACAGATTAATGGGTACTAGTTTTTGTTCGTTGAGTTAAATTAGGAGAATATCATGTGATTTGATTTCCTTCCGTTTTTAACTAGTTTAACCTTCCAGACTTTGCGCAGATACGTTACTGTATTCACGTTAATGCCGCGTGAATACAGTTAAATACATATCAACATTAGCTGGAATTCCCTTTTTAACGCCTATTTTTTCTATTGTATTAATGAATACAATAGCTTAAATACATAAAATACACTGTATAAAAACATAAAAGGTATCTATAACACGTAATATAGCAAAAGGTATCTATAAATGGCTAATTAGACCTAAAAGATGGTACTTCATGAAAAATTCGTGATTTTGGGTCCATATTTATAGCTTCATGCTAAAAATATAATTATTTAGGTGCCTTTTTTATAGAATACCTTCTACTGCTAGGTAACTGAAATTTTCTTAAATATGGCCTACTTATGTTTTTTTCTCTTTATTTTTTTTTACTATAATCTGTATCCCCTTTTTTCAATGATTTTAAATTGTGTAACACATAATTCTGTTACAAGCAACGTTGGTAACTGATTTTTTCAGTGTTTTTCGTTTAAGACAATTCATGGAGCAAATAATCTATATCTATATTTATATCTATATCTATCTATATCTATATCTATATTATTATAAAAGTATGAATACAATGTCCGTTTACAAAAATAGCCTTAAACATTTAATTTATACAAGGACGGAATCGTAATCACTTATAATATAATATTAAATTTTGGATAAGTTATATATAGGATAGGATATATGATGAACCGAATATATACTTGCCATCAGTTATGAAGTAAATCGAATCCAACTTTGATTAGAAACGCATGTCTATAAAAAGTTTCTTTTTAAGAACAAAAAATCTTGCACCAAATCTTCCGGATTTTTTAGGAAAAATATTCCTATTCATATTAATCGTTCAGTTTTTGCTTCTTCTCAATTTTTATCTACTAAATTTTTGAAAGCTAAAGTGTTATTTCAAAGAGATAATCTATGTTGTATAAAATTATACGTTTAGAATTTTACTAAAAAATTAGAATTTTGAAGTCCACTAACAATAATTTTTTTTATCTATCTATATTATTATAAAAGCACGAATAATGTATGCTAAATGTTGAACGACTAAAATATCCCCAAAATATTGATCGCTTTTATGCCCTTAATTATTTGTAGAGTTTAAGGATCTAATTGTAAATTACCTAATGAAGGAATTTTTTTATATTTAATCTACACATACATGGACCCTACAAAGTTTATCCTAATTGTATTAGAAAGGTACGTCCATAATTGGTGTTATTACTTGTAAGCTTGTGTTTGTTTCTATTCATATTGTAATGACATCATATATCTATAAGAATTATCTTATGAAATATAAAGTACGAAAAATATAAATTTTTGACTGTCCTTTGGTGTTCAAATTTTAAGGTATTCAAGGGAACAATTTCTATTATATGATCATTAATTATATATGATCTGGCGAAAGGTCTATTGCTTAATTTGGTCCAAGTTTCAAACATAACCAACTAATTATGCGTTAAGGTATTCTCTCTCTACTTGAGAAATTATCTTTCTTTTGCACTTTTTATGTTATTTATCTAATTAATGATCAAAATTATAGTGTATGTCCCTTTCTTTTTATAGTATTTCTGGCGCAAAAAAGAAGAAAGCCTTCTTAAATGTCGTGGGACTAAAATATTGTTGTTTCTAATAGTAAAGCTCATGTAATATTCTCTTTGCTTTTTTATTTTACGGAAGATGAAAAAGTCTGCTTTAGTTTGCTTAATAATTCAAATATTTAGGGCACTCTACTTATTTTGACATATTTTTTTGTGTGCTTATTTTATTATGTAACATCTGTGTCCGGTGAAGTTCTCTCACTATTCTCATCGAACATAGCAGTTAATTCTTCTTTTGGATTTTCAATCTTCTTAATTAAAAGATGACTACTTTTTTATTAAAATCAGTAATATTGTAGATATACTTTCAATAAATCTTTACCGTATGTAATATCATAGCGACAGGCCAGTTCAGATATATAGATGCTTTTTATACGGGATGATGTAGTTATCAGGAGTTTGTTCTAGGTGCATGTTGGAACCAAAACCAGATGAAAATAGAAGGTTAACGATATAGACATAGTTGATTAATTAATAAAAATATGATTGATGCTAATATGAGATAAAAGAATTTGGAGTGACGTAAAATATGTGATGATCTGCAAACGCACATTGATTTGTTACATTAAATTGTTATATTAAGTGGGTAGTATTGTCTAAGATAAGAATTGAAATGTTCGGTCACATAAATAATTGACTGAAGATTTACGTGCAACGCACGTACATAGAGACTAGTTATTATAAAAGCATGAAAACATTGTCGGTTTACAAAAATAACCTTATATTATTAAGCATAATAACTCATAAAAGAACATAACCGGAATTTTATATATTATCCTTATAATCCTATTAGTATCATGATATAATACTACACGTTAGGAATCCTACATGATTACCTTTAGGAATCCTATTAGTATAATTACTTTGGGGCTGTTTAATTCATATAAAATTGAACAAGTAAATATCATTAGTCANTGGCGAACTTGCTTTGGGGAAAAACGTATTAGTAGCTTATATGCCGTGGGAGGGTTACAATTCTGAAGATGCAGTACTTATTAGCGAGCGTTTGGTATATGAAGATATTTATACTTCTTTTCACATACGGAAATATGAAATTCAGACTCATGTGACAAGCCAAGGCCCTGAAAAAGTAACTAATGAAATACCGCATTTTAGAAGCCCATTTAGAAAGAACATAACTAAAATAACCTATTTTTTAGACTACATACATTCTATGCTAATTTTTAATATTTAAGATTTTAAAATTAATAAAAAAAATTCTATTAAATTCTCATTAAAAATATGTAGGAAGGTTTAATAAAATAAATTTTATAAAAATCCTCCGTATTTTTTTTTTTTGGTAACTAAATATTTTTATTTTTCACCAAAAGGAGCTTTACAAATCAGTAGCTAAACTATCACAGTTAGCTAACCTTTCTGATCATTCTCTAAAGCTACTAGATTCTAAAAGTATTGACTATTTCTCTAGTTTTTGCTACTGCTCTAATACTACAAATACAAGCAATTTCTCTCGCTATGGATTCACTACTTTTATATATTTTCTCAAAAGTTCTCATATTTCTCTCTATCCATATGCTATGAATATATTCTGTATATATCATCTTGAATATCTGTGCAGTTCGAGTCTTTCCTTTAGCTCTTCTAGTTATCTCCTGTTGATGCCGCTGCCAGTCACGTGCATTCATTGGTTTTCCTTGACCCCACTTGTTCACTATGTTCCATATGTCTTTAGCAAGAGTGCATTCCCAGAATAGATGCTCGTGTGTTTCTGCTACATTTCTACACATGACACATTGTGTATCAATTGCCATACCCCATTTTACTAACCTATCAGTGGTTAGTAATTTGCCCTGTAGTTGTAACCATAGTGTGAACTTTGCTTTAGGTCGAGCTGCATTGTTAAACATCAAATCTTTCCATGGTACTCTTGTTTCCTCTCCTATCAGTTGGGTATATATCTGTTTTGTGATGCTTCTTTCTTTCTTGACTCTCCATTGTATTCTTTCAAAGATTGTCCTGGCTTCCATGGTTTTCCTTGTCATCCAGCATGCTTGTTGTGGGATTGCCATTGTTTCTATTGCTTGGCCTTTAACATAGTATGCATGGATCCATTTTATCCACAGTTTGTCTTTTTTCTGAGCAAGATCCCAAAAATTCTTTGCTATAGCAGCTTTGTTCCATTTCTGAAGATTTGTCAGTCCCAGACCACCAATACTCTTTGGAGCACATACTCTTTCCCATGATACTAGAGCTTTTTTGGTGATGGTATTGCAACCTGACCATATGTAACTGCGACAGTAGGCATCAATTGTTTTCAGAACTTTGGTAGGCAGAACAAAGAGTTGAGCCCAATAAGCTTGGACTCCAAATAGAACATTCTCCACCAACTAAACTCTTCCTCCATAGGATAACTTTTTTGCTGTCCATGCTGAAATCTTTGCCACTATCTTTTCAATGAGTGGTTTCTATTGGACTAGAGATAGCTTCTTAGTAGATAATGGTACCCCCTAGATATTTAAAAGGTAGCTCCCATTCAATCAATCGCAATTCCTGCATCATTCTTTCTCTATCTTCTCTGCTTACACCACCAAAATATATTGAACTCTTAGCCAGGTTTGCTTTGAGTCCTGAAGCTGCTGAGAACTGATTGAAACATTGTTGGATCGTGATCACTGATGATAAATCCCCTCTCGCAAATAGTAATAGATCATTAGCAAAGCATAAGTGTGTGATTGCTAGCTTTGAGCATCTGGGATGGTAATGAAATTCTGCTTTCTTTCTTAGTTCCTTTAGACTCCTACTCAGGTACTCCATTGCTATAGCAAATAAGAATGGAGACATAGGATCTCCTTGTCTAAGACCTTTAGTAGCATTGAAAGGGATTGAAGGCTCTCCATTTATCAGAATAGTATAACTTACTGTTTTCATACATTATAGGATCCAAATGATGAACTGATTAGGGAATCCCAACTCCACTAAGACTTGTTCAATATATATCCACTCCACTGAATCATAAGCTTTTTGGAGGTCTATTTTGATCATGAACATTGGTGAGATATGTTTTCTGGTATAAGCTTTCACAAGCTCATGAGCTAGAATAATATTGTCTCCAATCTTCCTCCCTGGTATTAAACCTGCCTGAGATTCACTTATTATAGAAGCAATGACTTTTTGGATCCTTGCTGCTATAATCTTTGATATCAACTTATACATAATAGTGCAACAAGATATTGGTCTATATTCCTTCACTGTTTTGGGATTATCATTCTTTGGCAACAATGTGATAGCTGTACAGTTGATGGCTTTATACATCTTCCCTGTTCTGAAAAATTCTATTATTGCTACACATACCTCTTCCTTAATGATTCCCCATGCTTTTTTGAAGAAGGTAGTATTATAGCCATCTATCCCAAGAGATTTATCTTCACCAATGGATTCAAGGCCTTGTTGGACTTCCTCTTCAGTAATTGGAGCTATCAGGTCTAGTTTTTGTTGATGAGTCGGTGTTGGTCCTCCTTTCATATTCAACTTGTTTATAGCTGGCAGTTCTTTTGCAGAATATCCCATTAAGGATTTATAGAACTTTACAATTTCCTCTTGTATTTTCCTTGGTTCTGTAAGTATCTCACCTTCTAGTGATGTGATTTCCTTAATAGTTTTCCTCTGACTTCTCTCCTTGACCACAGCTGAAAAATATTTTGTGTTTGAGTCCCCTAATTGGATCCATTTGGCTCTTGACTTCTGTTTCATGATGTTCTCCTCTATCAAAGTCCACTTTTCCAGGCTTTGCATTTAGCCTGTCTTGTGGATATAACACTGCATTGAAATCTCCAACAACTAGCCATGGCATGTTTATTCCTTGAGCCAGAGTTTTAAGTGTTTCCCATAACCTTTTCCTTTCTTCACATGAGTTATACCCATAGATTACTGTTATAACACATGTCTTATTTGATGCTATTGTATTAACTTGACAATGCAGTAATTGAGCTTCTTCTTTCAACTTATCAACTGTGTATAGTCTGCTATCCCATATTAGCCATATTCTTCCATTTACTGCACTCATGTAAATATTCAGGAATCCCCAGTTGGTTACCACATTAGCTGCCACAGTTGTTGCCTTGTGCTCTTTAACTTTGGTTTCAATTATTCCTGCTAATGTAATATGATTTATTTTTGTATATTTCCTCAGTTTCTTCTGCTTATACTTCTTATTTACACCCCTTATATTCCAAAAGAGCCACTTCATTTGTTAAAAACTTGTTCCTCCCCCTTTGTCAGGAGGTGCAGACTTGGATCCACCTTGATCTCTGTTTAACACTGCAAAGACATTCTTTGTTGGTACTGAGCATAGTATTGGGAACTCCTGTAGGTTGAGTTCTGGTACCTTGTCTTTTCCTTTGTCAGGGGCTTTGATATCATTCCTCTCCCTTCGTTTCTGATCCTGCATCAAACCAGTTGATTGTCTCTCCCCAGCTTGCTTGTGCTTGCCTTCTATTTCAATGTTTCTAACCACAGTTCCAACCTCCTGATTTTCTCCATTCTTTTTGTTGTCCTGTTGCTCTTTTGGTTGTTCTTTTGTCACCCATCTCAGCACTATTCTCTTGTGTCCTTCTTGCTTAGCTGGTTGTTCATCATTCTTTCTCTGGTCCTTTGGACATTCATGACCTATAACTTGACATTTCTCACAGAATAATGGCTTCCAATCATACAATATAGGCTGTTGAAATACTCTGCCATTAGGATCCATTACTTCAATTTGGTCAGGTAATGGTTTTGTCACATTAACTTCCACTAGCATCCGGTCAAATGACACACGTTTTTGTTTGGCTGTGCACTCATCTGCATACATTGGTATTCCTATGGCACTTGATATCCTACTTAGTGAATTTATCCCCCAGCAATTCATTGGCAATTTTGGCAGCTTGATCCATAATGGTATTTCAGTAGGAAACTCCTTATCAAAATCAAATTCAGGAGTCCAAGGCTTTAAAATAATAGGTCTACTATTAATAGTATATGGTCCTGAGCATAGTATTTCTTTCATATCATCAATTGATTGGAATTTGATGATGAAATACCCTTCCTCATGCACAAACAACTCTGGGCTTGCAATTTTGTTCCACTTTAAATCTATATATATGCTCATTGCATTATACCCCAGGCAATCCCCAATTACAAAAGCAATTAAAGCTCATTTCCATTTTTCAGTCTCCCGCTCCACTTCCTCCTTTTCCAATTGAATAACAACTCTGCCATCTACTAATTGAGGAGCAATATAAGCTAATGTCATACCGTTTTCTACAGATCTGTTATTCGCAAAGAGACTCGGCCATTTTTGAGTTGGTTGTTGTACTGTAGCATGCAGCACTATTCCATTGGGTTCCTGAGTTTTTACCTCCTCGATTTGCTTCGATTCCACTCTAACTGTTTCTTCAGCTTCTTTCATCTTCAATTGTGCTGGATCTGGGCTCAATTGAAGTTTCTTAGCACTTGTTGCTCCATTAGACGTTGATCCTAGCTCTTTCTGGACCAGCTCACCCATTTGCACAGGTGTAACTTGAGTTTGTTCATCGACTGTAGTCTCCGGTTGCATGCGTCCTCCAACTGAGCTTCCAAAAGTGACTACTGGTAGTTTCCTAGGTCTGCCGCGTCCTCTTCCTCGTCCGCGACCACGTCCTCCTGCCATGGCTTTCACACCGGCGTAGGTTTACTAACTTGCGCCGAGAGCATTACAGGAGAGAAGTGAATCCTACGTATTGGCAGTACATTACCACTACATAATGTCTAATACGAAGAAAAAATAAAAGCAATATTAAATGGACTGCATAAAGAGTTGAAATTAAGAAAAAAATACCCCCACGATTATTTTATTTTATATTCGAACTATTTTCCTATTTAAATAATATTTTTTTAATCAATTTTTCGTGTAATATTAAAAAATACCCAAATATTAAACAACAACTAAGGGGTCGTTTGGTTTGAATACGGCTTATGCTGGGATAAGTTATGCTGCGATTATTTTTTATCCATTGTTTGGCATGTTGTATTAAATATGGAAATTCCATAATTTGTAAGAAGAATGTATAAGTTATACCGGTGCTAATTACCCCATTCTCTATAAGGTATAAGTTATCCCGGTGTTAATTTTAATCCTGGAATAACTTATACTTGGTTTGCTAACCAAATGAAGTATTAAGGTGGTATTAAATTTTTATACCAGCACTATACCTTCTTATACCTCATACCAAATGACCCCTAAGAGAATATTTAAGAATATAAATGTATGAGAAAGAGAAAACAAATGGTTGGTAAGAGTCAATACCACTAATGATTCTATAAACATAAAGATCTAAAAGTGAAATGTCATATCAATCTTTTACTATTTGAAAATAAAATTTATGGTGAATAAAATTATAACTAAGATTAAATATTCAAAACAAGATATGAACTAATATTAAGATATGAATCAACATAGAATAAATTATCTTTTATGTTAAAACAAAATAATTAAATCTTTTAATTAATTATTTAGCAAAGAATCCGATTCAATTATTTCTTAAATTCGTCATATGAGTAAAATTGTTATTCAAGATAAAAATAATCTTAGGCTATATAAATTTATACCATAAAAAAGAGCATTAGAACACAAAGTAAAAAGGTTAGTATATTATTAAGAATCAAAATGCTATACAAGTGTATGAGGAAGCACAATCAAACCTAAATCCTAAACAAGAACAGGCTTTCAAGACTATATTATAAAGAGTCGACTCTGGTATAACAGGATTATTCTTTGTAGATACCTCCACCTGAATTGAAATGATATTTCTACGTCATGAATTACTTGCAAATATCATATCAAGCGGCATGACACTGTTAGCAATAATAGCAAGTGGTATACCAACAAAGATTTTATTGTGAGGCCACCCACTTTAGATTTGATATACCTCTTCAAACAACTTAAATAACCATCACAAATATATCAAAGCAGAGCAATGGTGCTAAATTTATAAGGAAAGCAAAATCGATAATATGCCATGAAGCACTTATGGCTAAGTGTCAAATGATCGAAATAACTGCCTAGAGTTCTAGAGATATATTGGATATTAATGAACCGTTTGGCGAAAAATTAATGGTTTGGGGGGTGATTTCTGCCAAGTACTATCAGTAGTTCCAAAAGTTGAGACTATAAAAGCTAGCTTGCCAAAGTTATACTTCTGGCCTCAAACAAAAAAGATTCAACTGACAAGAAATATAAAGTAAGAACATATCCAGTATTCAGTGTCTTCTTGCTTCGTGTCGGAAATGAAGAAGAGTATCCAATAAAAGATGATTTGGTTCTTCCTGAACATTTGGTTATCAATCCCAATGATAATAGTAGTGCATTTATGTCACGACCCAAAATCCACTAAGGGTCGTGATGGCGCCGGACACCGCTGTCAGGCAAGCCAACCAAATACTTAATTAAACTCCAATTTTAACAATTTTGGAAACCAAGATTTTCCTTTAAATTTCATAAGTAAAAAGATAACTGCTTCAATTCAAATTAAGTACTAGCAATCACTACAAAAATATTTAAAAACCATCTCAGAACCCGGTGTCACAAGTGCATGAGCATCTACTGATAAGGAAAATAAAATACAATACAACATTCGTCCGGAATACAGTGGACGGAAAGAAAATACAATTTACTGGAAGGGACTTTACTAGCTGCGGGCCGCCTCGAATAATGCAACTCACCTAGTCCCCAATCATCCGTGCTGCTATGCCTAGTGGGCTGCTAGAGATAAATATACCTGTGTAACAAAATGCACAGAAGTGTAGTATGAGTACGTAAAAAAAGTGTACTCAATGAGTATCCCGTCTAATCTCGAAGAAGTAGAGACGAGATGGTCAACTTCGACACTTACTAGAGGTCAATTGACAATATACTAAAAATGTGAGGAAATCATGGATTTATATGGCAGTCCTAATTCACGAAGCCAGAAAACAGGTAAACACCTTCCACAAATAATCAAGAATTTTCAAGATTTACTCTTTATTATCTTATCAATTTATATCAAGCCACGAAGGGCAAATTTCACATTTAAAATTCTCAAGCAACAATATAACATGCGCAAATCACACCGAGGCGACGGCCCGATCCAACAGAAATAAACTGTGCACTTGCCGAGGGTAGACGGCGCGCCTATAGATGCATCTATTTAATCTGCCGAGGCGTTCGGCCCGTTCCATAAATAAACACATACCCTGCTCGCGAATCATGCACGCGACGCAGGTACACATAGAGATACATGCTCAATCAGTGAATTAAGAACTTATAGGGAATATTTATCCAAATAAAATAATTCCTCTTTTTAACAATTCAGAAAAAATGATGTTTAATCTCCTTTTAAATTTATTTACTAATCCAAGGTGATTTAAGCAATTCAAGCTATCAATAGGTTCATAAATCATCCAAGTATGAAATGCTTTTGGGCCCTAACTACCCGGACAATGACATAATAGTAGCTACGCACGGACTCTCCTCACCTCGTGCGTACGTAGCCCCCGCAAATAGGAGCACATAATCAATTATTTCACCTATGGGGACAATTTCCTCTTACAAGGTTAGAAAGGAGACTCACCTCGCTCCGAAGGTCCATAACCGGCATTCCACGCCCTTCCGAAGACTCTAGTTGATGCACCACGCTCCAAAACTATCCAACGGTTACGCAAATCCATTAATATATGCTCAATTAATCATTACAATCTAATTTATAGAAATTCCTAACTCCGATCGAAAAGTTGCCCAAAACGCCCTCGGGCCCACGTGCCCGGAATCCGAAATTTTTCGAAGATAAAGATTACCCATGACCTTAGGAACTCAAATATATAATTTTCACTAAATTCCATACTCAAAATCGTGGTTAAATTCCAAGAATATAATTTCTAGGTCTTTCTACCAAAACCCCCAAATTTCAACCAATTTCATGCTCAAATCCTTACATAATTGATGTATTTAACTTAAAATGGATGGGGATATATTACCTTGACGTTGAAGACGAAAATCCCTCTCTTGAAGCTCCCCAAAAATCGCCCAAGCCATGAAAAATGTAAGAGAAATGACCAAAATCCGACTTTAAAACAACCCCTCTGTGTCCAGCTATTTTCGCACCTGCGGTCCTTTGACCGCTTCTGCGGTTCCGTAGGTGGGGTCCAAATACCGCTTCTGTGGTTCCTCTCAAGCCTCCCCATTTTCGCTTCTGCGGCACGCCATTCGCAGACGCGGTCCCGCTTCTGTGCGGTCTTCTCCAGCTGCCCCTCTTCCGCTTCTACGACTATCCTTCCGCAGATGCGGTTCCGCTTCTGCGGAATCTTGATCGCATCTGCGGTCCTCGAGCCTTGACCAACCTTCTGCTTCTGCGGCTTTCTTTCCACTTCTGCGGGCCGCTTCTACGGCTTGCCCACCGCAGAAGCGAAAATACCAGCAACCAAATCCTTCAGCTGTCCAAAATTCCAAATTTCGATCCGTTAATCACCCGGAATCCACCCGAGGCCCCCGGGACCCCAACCAAACATACCAACCAATCCCAAAACACATTACGGACTCGCTCGAGGCCTCAAATCACATCAAACAACGCAAAAATCATGAATCGACCTCCAATCCAAACTTAATGAACTTCAAAAATTCAAACTTCTATTTCCGATGTTTAAACCTATCAAATCACGTCCGATTGACCTCAAATTTTGCATACAAGTCATATTCGACATAACGGACCTACTGCAACTTCTGGAATCGGATTTCGGCCCCGATATCAAAAAGTCCACTTCCGGTCAAACTTCTCAAAAGCCTTCAAATTTCTATCTTTAGCCAAATGGCTCCAAAATGACCTACGGACCTCCGAATTCACTTCCGATCGCGTTCCTAACTCCAGAATCACCATACAGAGCTATTCCCGGACTCGGAATCCTAAACCGACATCGATAACACTGAAATGCACTTCAAGCCAAACTTAAGAAATTTCTTCAAAAATGCTAACTTCCACAATAGGCGCCAAAACGCTCCCGGGTTATCAAAAACCCGAACCGGGCATACGCCCAAGTCCGAAATCATCATACGAACTTGTTGGAACCTTCAGATCCCGATTCCGAGGTCGTCTACTCAAA